AGAGTGAAGTCTTAATCCCCAAGGACTCTCAATGTGACCTTAACTAATCATAAGGTAATCAAGTTAAAATGAAGTCATCCCAGTGGGCCCTGACCCAGTTCAACTGGTATCCTTAGAAAAAAAGGGAAATTTGGACACAGGGAGGCATAGAAGAAAAAGATATGAAGACTCAGAGAAGACAACCATGTGATTAGTGGGAGGCAGCTACAAGCCAAGGACTCCATGAACTACAGAACACATGGCCAGAAGAGACAAGGGAGGGGGCTTCTCCCCAAGGCCAGCCAATACCTCAGTTTCAGACTCATCACCTCCAAGGCATTTAGACAACTGCCTGCTGGTTTCAGGCCAGTGTTGGTATCTTGTTAGAGTAGCTGTGATGTTCCCCCAATGCCCACATGCCCTAGGGAGGTCAGAAAGGGGCTGGGGAGAGGTCTTTGGGTTGTGGGGTGTGTGTTCTGGAAAGGGTGTGGCAGTCCAGGCTCCCCAGCTTCTGCTCTTGTTCTCTGGAGACCTGGGGAGTGGCCCTGCCCCACTGTGTGCTTCCAGAACGATGTGCTGCCTTACAGCAGCTCAAAACAATAGCACAAACCAGCAATGGACTGGAATCTCCAAGGCCTCTCTTTATACGGTGAAGGTCTCAAGTATTTGTTATGGTGCTTGAAAGCTGATATACCTGGGGAACTAATGCCATAATCCTAACCCTAATTGTATCTGCATAGCCCTTGCGAGTGTGAAGTCACTCACTGGTCCCCAGGACCTCTGGGTGAGTACTGTGTCTGTGATGCCTCATGTTAGAAGCCCTCCCACCTCAGCACCCTTCTTTCCAGATTCACTAAGCAACACAGCCTCCAGAAGAGCCATAGACTAAGACTCTGGAGGAGGAGGAAGAGGAGGAGGAGGAGGAGGAGGAGGAGGGGAGGATGAAGAAGAGACCAAGAAGGTGACCCAGAGCAGAAGCCCAGTTGCAAAAAGGACTAAGCAAGACCACTTTGTTATGAACAGCACATGTGTGGCTGCAGGGAATGACATGCACAGTGTAGCCACAAGTCCTCCACACCCAGTCTCACTTTGAAAGCAGATTTTAGTAAGATCAGCCTCACAGAAATGTAAGAATTAAATGAAACCACAAAAATATAAAGAATGCCCAGAACTTTAGGCAGG